TGGCTGGCTGGGGAATTCTGGGAGTTGAAGTCCACTCATCTTAAAGTGGCCAAGTTTGGACAACACTGGGCTAGGAGGACCCGGAGCCCCACTTTTTAAGGAGCAAAGTCCCCCCCAGGGATGGGCCTACTCTGTCAAAGACCCTGGGCAGAGGTGCCTCTGCTGCAGCCCTGCCTTGCAGGCCGAACTTAGGACAAGACTAGCAATTTGGGGGTCCAGAAAGCATCTGCGTGGACAATTTCCTTTGGGTTCTAAGCTTTCGAAAGAAAGAGTCAAGGACTCTACAGGGAGAAGCGTTTCTTGTCTTGGGAACGGGGTACTTCTGCCCAGAAAAGAGAACCTGGAAGAAAGGTTGGCGTTTGGGGGTCCACTCCTCTGCCAACCAGGAGTTCTAAGGTCTGTGTTGTTCTTTCAAGGACTGGTGTCTCCTTTCACAGGTGAGATAACTTTCCAGTGAAGGCAAAATGGGGACCACGGAAGCCACGCTGCGGATGGAAAATGTGGACGTCAAGGAGGAATGGCAGGACGACGACTTCCCCAGGTTGGTGCTTGCCAGGGTGAAGAGATGCTCCCTCCCTTTCCCCAAAGAACGAAGGGCTGGAAGCGCCATCCCACAGCAGAGATGGAGGGTGGGAGGGCCATTCTCGGCAGGCCCTAATCCGAGAGCGTTCCCTCTGGGCCCACCATCATTCAGGGGCTTAAGAAGGCACTTCCTTCGCCCCTGAAAGTCTCCCTGGTCAAGGAGATTTTCTCTCTCACGTTCTGCTTGAGACAGTCTCGATCTCAGTGGGTAAACAGGCTGTTCTTGCACAAGGCAGCATCCTGTATTCACCCTCAGAACTATGAGGACTAGAAACTTGGATTTGTTTCAGAAAAAAGAAGCACTCTTGAAAAGTGGAGCATGGGCTTTGTGTGTGGGCAGTTCAACCCTTGGCATCCCAAGGCTTGTTTGTTTTTAAGTAACAGACGGTATTGAAAAAAAAATTTTTTTGACGTCCTGGACGGCCCCCAGTTGTTGGTAATTGGACAAACCGTCTGGACAGGTATGAGGGAATGCTCTTGGCATGGACGCCGGGTGGGGGCAAGTGGAGTTTCCTGCATATTTGGCCAGGGGCTTCCAACACCAGTCTCTGAAACGACCCCCAGAATTCTCTGCAGAACACGTGGATTTTAGGCCAAACATCCAGAGGTTGATCTGCAGACATCCTGGCACGCAAAGAGTTCATCGCAGGCAGGAAATACGACGTTAAAGTTGACTTGCTTCTGAGCTGGTTTTCTAATGGGGGGATGCTGTTCACTCCATTTTCAATGCATTTTTCACAGTTTGAATTGAATGGCTTTCATTTAATAATCTATCTGAATGATGTTTTTTGGTGGAAAGGCAGGATAAACATTTGATGAATAAAGAGTCTGGAAACTAATGGCTGCAGATAGGAAACTGTCTTTCCGAAGTATTTGAGGCTCCCACTGAATTTTTGTGCCCTTGTGATGCTGTCCCTAAGGGCTGGGTCTTATGGTTTATGGTTTATCACCAAGCCTGTTTGCACCATTGCTATCTTTTAGCTATCACAAGGATTTCATCATTGATTTGATTCCATGAGATTCAGAACCTGGGCATTTTTGTAGGACAAACTAAGGGATTGCATACAGTAAAACAGACACCCCCTGTTGCCACTGTTGGCTGTTGGGCAAGATTGACTGTGTCCAAAAGGGCTTTTGCAGCTTTGGTGAGTCTCTCAGAGAAGATCCACAGGGACTCTCTGTTCTTTGGACAGTCGATCCTCTGTCCAGCCCCAGCTGCCGGAGCAGACAGACCCTCTGAGCCAGCCTGTGTCCTCCTTCTGCACTTCTTAGCTGAGCACTCTCTCTGGAAGTCACAGCTGCAGAGGGTGTGTCGGTCTGCTGCGCACACCTCCTCGTCAGTGGGTGCAAGGGGGGCACAGTGGCTCGCTAAGATCTAGGTTAGAGACCCTCACTTGCCCCAACTCACGGGTGCATGGCTGGGGTGAAGCTGGGCTTCCGTTGCACTTGTAGCGTACGGTCCCAAGCGGGCCCAAACGGTTGACCTTACCAAAAAGCATTCATTGAAAACCTCAAAGCCAGATGGGTGGCAGGGATCAGCGTCTCTGGGCATGTGGACATTTGCGATGTGAGAGGCATAAAGGGTGAAGAAATGAAGGAATTGAAACAAAGGGAAGAAAAGCAGACATAGAAATATAGGGAGGGAGAGGCTGGAGCTGAATGAAGAGTGGAGCTGAGAGAGAGAGAAGTGGAGGAAGTTCAGTTGTGAACAAAAGGACTCAAATCTTCGTCAGAATTTGTGAATGATTTGTGAATTGCTGAGTGTTTGGATCCCTACCATTTGAATTTGGCAGGGATCCAAACACAGTGACAGCTGTATGTTACTGTCCAGTGAATGGCGACAAGGGAAGAATTGGGGATGAGTTGGGGGGGAAATTGCAAACTTCTGGATGAATGCAATCCAGGAGAAAAACGTATTCTGTTAGATGACATGAATGGATGGTTGGGGAGGAGACAAGAGAATGCAGAAAAAGGAATGAGAATGATGACTATTTCATGACTATTTATTTATTTTAAAAGACTTATAGAGCCACCCATATTTTAACCACAACTCTGGGTGGCACCCAAAACAATAAAAACACCACCACCCCGCAAACAATCAGAATAAAAATCAATGAAACTCAGTATCTGCTTAGAACAGGTTTTCTTTGTTTGGAACACGTAGTTCAAGCATAAGTCTATTTCTATGGCAAAGGAACGATTATGAATCTAACTCTCCCAACAGAAGGAATGGGAAAAAAACCTAGAATATAAAACAGATTGATTCAGGGCATGTTACTTTCACCGAACAGTAGGAGAGTCTTGGTGGAAGCGATGTCGCTCTTTGAAAGCGAGACTTGGGGTAAACACCGGCAGGATCTTGGTGGGTTCTGGCTTCCCGGTGTGTAGTCAGGAACCCTGCACGGTGAGAACGGGTTCTCCCGCTGAGGCTGCTGGTCCCGAGAGGGCAGCAAGAAGGATGTGGGAATAAGCAAGCCGGGAGAGGAAGGAGAAGCCTCTGCGGCTGTGGGGCTGCTTTTCAGCTCCAGGCGAGCGGTGATGCTCCAGGGAGGCTCCAGGTTGGGATGCAGGGAGCATGCTCAGTGAGTCATCCCGGGCGGAGGTGACTCATGCGGGCGCCGTCTGCGGAAGGACCAGCGCGTCACATGATCGGAGCAGCCCGGAATGGGGAGGCGATCAGCTGGATTTCGGCAGAAGAAAGGGGAGGGAAGGACCTGCGCCAAAATAAGTTGGAATATAGAACAGATCGATTAAGGGCATGCTACCTTCACGGGCCTTGGTGGAAGTGATGTAGCTGGCTCTTTGAAAGCAGAGAGGAAACAGCGGGGGTGAAAATCCGAGACAGGAAATTAGGAGCTCAGGCAATGTCCGCCTTTTCCGTAAAAGGTTCGACAAGGAAAGAGTCTCTTCTTTGATTTATTCCTTTTTAATTTTTGCACAAGGGCTGCTTTTTCCAGCTCTCTTCTCGCTGTTGCATGAGGGGATCCCCCTAACCTAGGGAGGCTTTGAAGCAGAGCGGCTGGGGAGGCCCTAAAGAACCTTTAAAGCCGCGTTTTCCAAACTTGGCCGCTGTAAGATGAGTGGACTTCAACTCCCAGAAGTCCACTCATCTTACAGTGGCCAAGTTTGGAAAACGCGGCTTTAAAGGGAGGAAGAATTTGATGCATATTTAGGTGTCACCCTCTCCATTTTGGTGCAGGTGTGTAGACACTGACGCTAGTGTGAAATAGCATTTGTTCCTGTTCTAAAGATAGCTGTGTCCTAGAGTGAAGTAAACCTATTTCATAATACCAAACCTCGGCTTCCAGAAGAGGCTTTCCCTATAATCTAAGTAAATCCGCAGATTATTTTACTTCAGCTGGCTCGGAGGTTCAGGCATGGCCAAACATGGGCAGGAGGCTGGCCGCCTCCCGCTTTGTGCAAAATAGGCAAAATCTGGCCTGCTTGACCGGAAAACGGACTCCCTCTGGCTTGCAATATGTGTGGCTTTTCTCAGCAAGCTGGAGTGGGGACAGGCACCGGAGGCATTCAAGGACACAAGAGCTTTGGATAAGTAGATTTCTTCTAGAAAAGCTAATGAAGCCGTTAAGGATTCCAGCCACTGCTGTGTTTCAAACGCAAGCCCTATTTATAGTAAGACGAAGGATCAGATTCCTGCCCCCAGCGATGGGGAGGAACAGACCTGAAGCACTCTCTTGGGCAGGAGGGGCAGTTTCTAGCTGGCTCTTGCCTGTGGGGGTGTCCCCAGACTGTTCTTTTTCACTTACACATCCCAGAGTGAAGAAGAATATTAGTTGGAGAGAATAGAAATTCCCATCGCTTTAAGACGGTTGATTGACTTCTTGGTGGTCACTCAGAGGACTAGAAACAGCCTTGTTCTCTGCTTTTGGTTGAGGCCCTCGATGTGAGACGTGTTCAGAAGATGCGGGGATTTCTTTAAATAGCTGCAGTTTCTTCCAGCAGTTCAGCGCTGAGTAGCTATGACTGATTCATAGGGAAGAGAGTAGGATCAAAATCACAAATAAATAAATGAATCATCATTTAATCGTTTGTCTCCCCCCCCCCCCCCCGCAATAAAATCTTATGCTGTAAATTGATTGGCTGGGGAATTGCTGGCTGGGGAATTCTGGGAGTTGAAGTCCACCCATCCTAAAGTTGGCAAGGTTGAGGAACACTGGTCTAGCCCAACCCCGGCGCAGCGCACCTCTGTCCAGTGGTCATCCAGCCTCTGCTTGGAGATTTCTTGTGAAGGAAAACTCACTGCCTCCGGTGTCAGCCTGTTCCACTGGCTAAGACAGTGATGGCGAACCTTCTGGGCTCGGCATGTCAAAAATTTGGAAAATGCCTAAGTTGACTCTGCTGGCGTGTCACCCCCCTCCCCAAACAAAAGAGAAACAATTCTTTACGTATTCATTTATTTAAAAAAAAATACAGTCCAATCACATGTGGTTGCCACAATGCAACCCTGAGCTACATATATTCTCTTCTCGGTGGGTCAGAGTTTTGACCCAAAGACACCCCACAACAGAGGGCTTTAATCACTTCAATATATTTTCCCTTCTCTTCCCACAACCTCACGCCTTCCTCTCAGCAGCATCTTAAAGATGTAGTCCTGCATTTATCTGAAGGCATCTGCTTCAACGTACATCTACGATTCCCCTGTTTATGGAAGGAAAGAGCCCACAACTGTTGCTCAGAAAGAGCATCTGAACTTTTGTTCCTTGGTCTCCCCCCTCCTCAATGTCTCATCTCCAGGCCCCTCCCAGAGGAAGCAGGAATGGAGTCCTTGGGAAGCCCATCGGAGAACGCCTTGGGTGAGTAGAAGGAGACGGTCAGCAAAACAACAGGATTTTCACTCGGTGGAAATGTGGACGTCCTGAGGCCATTCCTCTAGCGGGGATGGAGAACCTCTGGCTCATGGTTCTCCTCTGGCCTGTGCTGGATTTGCAGCTGGAGAGCCTTCAAGGACGGCTCTGCCTCTGCACACCGTCCCCTTTCCTGATGGAGGGAACGTGGGGTGGCCAAGAGCAGGGCTCACCGTCCCTGCAAGTGTGTGGGTGGGAGGGGCAGATCCTTTGGCCACCCGGCTTTTCCAGCATCAAGGAAGGCATCTGGAGGCTCTTCTGGCCCCCTGCAAATTGAGAGGTGCTCCTTGCTGGGAGTCAAAAGCTTTGGGGTCGGGGGCTGAGGCTGGGCCTTCCCTGAGCCATTAGGCTAAGAGCACCTTTGGATTCGGTGTACTGTGAGAACCCAGCCGCTTTCTCATAAGATGGTTTACTTGTTTGGGGGTCAGTGGTTATATGAACTTAGCTGTTGGGTTGACTGGCCTTTTCGCTGCATTGTTGTATTGAATCCCACCTCTGGGTGTGTCCACTCAGTTACCCAAATGCAAGTAGCTGATAGCCTTAATCTTGGCAAAGATCAAGGTTAGGAGAAGGGAGGTATTGACAGGTTTGGAGCACCCAGAATTCTGTGGCAGTATGAAATTTAGGAAAAAGTTGAAATATGTTGTACTTGTTGAATTAAATGTCATTACCTCATGGAACAACAGCCTGAAGACAGACAGGTGGGTGCTCAGTTTGGGACATTTCAAGAGCCCTTAGTAAGCGCCAGCTATAAATCGAGACGTAGAAGAACATTGACATCTGCAGGTGTTTGCATAGTCATAAAAGCAAAGTTTAGAAGCTATACATAAGTGTGTCAAAAGTGCATCTTACAAGGGTTTTCCTACTTGTGAAAATCTCCTCTCTTTGAAACTGATCATAATTTTTAAACTGTTGACCAAACTCTGCCGTTCTTTAAAAACATATTAAGCTGCAGTTATATACCACTTGTTTGTTATAATTACATTTTTTTGCAAGATTATTACTGTTTGAATAACAGTAATAACCTTTCTCACACGTTTCTTCTGGACTGCCTCATTTTTTAATTTTTTTGTACTGCAATCCCACAGCTCCACCAAGCACCTTACATTTTAGTAACGGGGCTCATCACAAGCGGAAGACACTTGTCGCTCCCGAAATCAACATTTCTTTGGACCAGAGTGAAGGCTCACTCCTGTCGGACGATTTCTTGGACACTCCGGATGACCTGGATATCAACGTGGATGACATTGAGACTCCCGACGAGACGGACTCCCTGGAATTCCTGGGGAACGGGAACGAGCTGGAATGGGAGGGTAAGAGATGGCAGATGACCTCTTTCAGCTCTGCGTCCTGTCAGGAGCTGCTGCGGCCAGCACGGGCGATCTGTGGTTTTGCAGGAGGACATCCGGGTCTCCCCTTGCCAAGTTTTCCTAGTTGGGGTGTCCTTCCAGAAGAGTGGGCGTTGTGGTCCAAGTGTTTTTGCCCACAGCAGGAATGGAGTTTGTTCTGGGCAAGGAGTTCCGTGGGGCATAGAGGTTTTGTGCACCAGCGTCAGGCACATCCTTCTGCACTCCCCATACAGGCCAGAACAATTATTCCTGCGTTGCAGGATCATGAGAAGGGGGTCCTGGGTATCAAGCCGTGCTCCGATACCAGACTTCAACCCAACAGTCTCACGAAGAAGACTGACACAGGCACAATCCCAGGGCGCTCCCTTGGCATTCCCTGTGCGGACACGCGGGCCTTGGCTTCTGTAGTGCTGCCCCCATAACCAGTGGGGTTGTTGGATGTTTCCAAGAAGAGGTTTGCTAGCAGTTACGTTACTCGTGAGCAACTTCACAGATCAAGATTTGTCCACAGAAGGCACTTAAAATCTGTAGCCAAGTCGCTTTATTTTATTTTTATTTTTTTCATTTTATTTCTTAAATTTGTATGCCCCCTGACCCCCAGTGGCTCAGGGTGGCTCACAAGCAAATACAAAAAGGGGGGGAAATGCAATAAGAGACAAGAATGCAAGGCGGCCAAGGGGGCAAGGACCGGACGGGGCGGAAAAGAAACAGCCCCACCCGCCCGAAAGGGGCGTCGCTCCCCCTGGCCAAAGCCCCGGGAGAAGGTCCTGGTCCTCGAGGCCCGGCACGACACCAGCCGGGCAAACTTCGGCCTCTAAGCCCGGGCCGCGTTACAGTCTGACTGCGGTCGTGCACAATTAGTAAGCAATGTACAGTTATAATCGATATTGCAAGGAAACCCCTCAGCAGCCCTATCTGAGGAATGATACAAAGAACGAAGCCCGTAAAATGCATCCAAATGCTTGCAAGCGAGGTGATGGTAAGGAACTGCCTGATGCCCTTTAATGTCAATTTTTTTCCCTCCCTCCCAATTTTCTTCTGCACAAGTCAAAATCCGGGCTATGCCGTTTGGCTTAATTTTTGCTTCGTTGTTTTCCTGCAAAAGGATCGTCCCAGATTTGCTTTGCGTTTGTCTTGGCCCAGAAATCTCAGGCTAGGCTGGAAAGTCGGCAAAACTTTCTGTTTCTGCCGTTTCCAACTGGGGTGTCTGGGGTGGGGGGAGTGTAAAAAGAGTCAGGATGATTGAGGGTCAGGGCTTTGACGGCGCGAGTGCCATCTTGACCTTTTTGACCTGCTGTCCCACGGATGCCGCTGGTGCCCAAGAAAGTGCCACGGATGTGTCTGTATATATAAAAAAAAAGACCATAGAGGTGAAGGCTCAAGGCAATCTTTGCCTTTCTTTCCTATCTGACCTGGGGCTAGATTGTGTAACAATGGTAATCATCATCAGTGGGGATCTGGGATTACAGGAATGAGAACAAACCAATAGCTACATATACGTGGGTCGGTACCGTGTTGACGATTAACTGCAGTCCAAAAGCCCAGGAGCGGCTACTAAGAAGGCCCTCTGTTCCCTTCCCACCAACAAGCTTCAGGAGGAATTGAAAACCAGGGTTGACTTGAACAGGCAGATGCTGTCTTTCCAATAGCCAGGACAGATAGACCACAAAGTGATTTTCAAAAGGAAGGACGTCTTCTGCCTGCAGATACAGAGTTTAGAAGATGGGACGCAAGTAAAAAAGGATGGGGAGGGAAGAGAAATGCATACTTCTTAAATGTACAAAGGTGTAAAGCTTGAGAGAAAACTATTTAGGGTGAGAAAATGGGAAGAAGGGTGTCCCAGGCAGTCTCACCGCTCCCATTGATGTGGATGGAGACTATGATTATGGTTAAGGGAACAGCCAGTTGATGTTCAGCTCAACTCAGCAGATTGAATGAGGCCACCCAAGGCAACAAACAGAAGACAGAGTACTATCTTAATAAAATATTTATAAAAATAAATACCAAATAACTTTCTTAGTAGATTGTAGGAATGCTATAGATGTAATGTATCTTGATTTGAGCAAAGCATTTGACAAAATAACACATCTGATTCTGATTAGCTAGTGTGGGCTGGATAACAAGATATTTAAGTGGATGTCCGGGCAGCTTGAAAATCAAACTCAGAGAATGGTCATCGATGGTTCCTCATCAAATTAAAGAGAGGTACTGAGTGGGTTGCAGCATGGTTCACTGCAAGGCCTTCTATTATTCAGTATTTTTGTTAATGAGATAGATGAAGAGGTGGAAGAAATCCTTATCAAATTTGCAGATGGCACAGAAGTGGGAATAGTTAATACCCCGGAGGACAGACATAAAATTCAAAAGCATCTGTTGAGAATTGGCCTGAAAGTAAGAGGCTGAAATTTAGCAATGGCAAATGCAAAGTTCTTTACTTAGGAAATAGAAATTAAACGTACACTTTGCAGTAGGGCGGTGCAATTGCAAAAATGGCAGATGCAGTTTTAAGCTGATCAAAGTCCGCAAATCAAGTGAAGTAATAATGCCACTTTATTCTGAACTGGTCTAGTTATACTTTGAGTCCCGTTCTCGGCATGACCCTGGAGGGATTCAAACAAACTGGAACAAGTTCATAAAAGGATGAATCAGCAACTAGAAACAAAGAGATGTTTTTCCAGAAAGAGAAAGATCTTAGCTTTGAGAAGGATGTCCTGCAGAAGACTTCTGTGCCCCCAGAGAGATTCAGGGAAAGCATTTTCCGATTAAACGTTAGAAAAAAACTTTCCAACCTCAAGGGCAATGGCAGGGAAATCAGTTAGGAGGGAGGAGGCGGCTCCCTTAACTGAAGGCGCTCAAGCAGAGGCTGAGAGGCCAGATCGCCCATCTTTTGGAGAGGAGGTCCGTAGCCGGCCAGTCCAGCTGGCCTCGGAAGTCAGTGCGCAGGATCCCAGGTGCATTAAATCCTGGAGACGGTGTTAAGTCTTCCAGTAAACTAGCCCCTAAGAGTTTGTGATTCCGTGCCAAGTTGTGTTGGCGACTCGTAGCGCCAGGGTTACCTCCTGGGTTCTCCTCCTCAGATGACACTCCCGTGGCCACAGCCAAAAACATGCCTGGAGACAGTGCAGACTTGTTTGGGGATGGAGGCGGGGAGGACGGTGGTGCCCCCAATGGCCGCCTGTGGAGGACAGTCATCATTGGGGAGCAGGAGCACCGCATTGACCTGCAGATGATCAAGCCATACATGAAAGTGGTGACGCATGGAGGTGAGAGGCCGGGAGGCCCCGGGAGGTCTCCAGCGAAGCGCCTTTGGAGGAGGAGGGAGCGGGTCTGTCAGGTGCTGGACGCCCTTGTACTCAGCAACCAAGGAAGAGATGGGGGACCCATGGCCAGCTCAACACGCCAATTCCCTTGATGCCCCTGTCTCTCTCAGGTTACTACGGGGAAGGTCTCAACGCGATCATCGTCTTCGCGGCTTGTTACTTGCCGGACAGCAGTTTGCCCGACTATCATTACATCATGGAGAACCTCTTCCTGTGAGTGGCTCTTCCTGGGTTCAGCCAAGGAGGGGAGGACATCTTGCTAAAACCCCGTTTTGGGGGCTTCCTGAGGCATCTTTGGATGGGCAAAACCAGGCAAACTAACACGGGAAATTCACACGGGTCTGACCCGATACAGGCTTGGTTTGCCAGACTCCTGGCACTTTGGGGGTGTTTGAAAGAGGCTGGCTCTGTCTTCCCTTAAGTAAGGCCGTGTCTGTTCCATTCTAAGACTCCATCCAAAGACGACAATGTTGATGATGGTGATGAGGATAATAATAATACTGTAATAATAATAGCAATCCCAAAACATCTGGAGCGCCCTTGAAGACCATTGACCATTGACAAAATCACTGTCAGTCCATTGCAAGAGACGGCTTTCCTTGGAACAGCCTCCAGTCCATCCTGTGACGGTACCTTTAACCCCATCAAACAACATCTGCCTCTCCCAGGTCCTTGGGAAGGACTCGATCGGTGGATCAAAATGCCAAATCCAGTCTAAACATCTGGCTGACAGTGCGGCCAACCATAATAATGCAGGCCGCCCAACTCCCAGCAACTCTGGGCAGCTTATACTTTTAATAAATTATTATTATTATTATTATTATTATTATTATTATTATTATTATCAAACCATCATCTTGCCTGATTTCACAGGTCAGCTCTCATTTTTTTCCCTTTAAAAACGGTCCTCCGAGGCGTCAGACGCCCTCCGGGACCTGCCCGAAGAGCGTTTCAGATTCAGAAGAGCCAACGAGCTCCTCCGAATTCTGACGCCCCCGAGAGAGGCGTTGGTGATCTGCTGAGGTTGTTACAGGCGACGTGCACTTTAAATGCAGAAGTTCAAATGGAGACAGAAGGGCGAGGTCCCTTTGCCTGATCATGGCGCAAAATCCATTTTTGTTTTTCAGGGCTGCCGCAAACGCCAATGTTGGCTAGCACCCACTGGCTGCTTCCGTTTATATATATATTTATTTTTTTCTTTCCACCCTCTAAAAGGAAAGAAAGGGTTTTTTTACGTTTTTGTTCCTTTTATCTTGACAATACAGCGTAATCTGTCAAAATGTATCTAAAACAGTGTTTCTCTACCTTGGCCACTTTAAAACGGG